TGTGCGCCGGGCTGCATAACTCGCAGCATGAAACGCGGGCGTGCGGGAGAAAATTCGCTGCTTTATCAGTCGCTTTCAGACCAAATGGAGATGAATCCAAATTAGCGACGGTCGGCTTAGCACAGAGCAACAGTGTTCACAAGGAAACCTTAGAAATATAGTCCACCAAATTTGCATGGATTTATTTTTTTTTTATTTTTTGCATAAAACATAAATAAAATATATTGGTTTTTGAATAAGAACAATTTTCTGCAACGAAGAAAAGCCCAATCGCTTCATTTCCAAAAAATTATAAATAAACAAGGTTGATTGATGATTTTTATAAGTTTCGTCTTAAGCCTAGCGGTATGGTTAACATTCCAATGGCAATGATGTCAAAGTTACTTACTTGACTATAAATCATTTTTACATAAAATTATCAAAATCTAACTGATTTAAGAAAAAAAAATGGTTTATACTCTTGTCTAAAGAATACTTACCGAAAAAAAGCTGAACAAAAATAATGGGGGATATTCAATAGACTTAGCTCTCCCGGGATAAAAGATATCCCGGGATATATCCAAAGGGATAAAATTTAAACCTCTGTCCCGGGTTAAATATTTCTTTGTCCCGCCTTCAATTTTTTGTCCCTTATTCATCCGAGATAACTTTTGTTCGCTCCCTCAACGGGACAAACATTTGACACGCGCTAAAATCAAATCAGCTGGTTATTAAAAGATCTTCAACATGCTCGGGAACTTTTTAAATTTTGGCCAATTGCAACAAACAAAAAACTTTTTCAAATCAGAATTTTGTGAAGATCATGGAAGTGAGGGCAAAATTGAAATCCAAAGCTAACACAAAAATCTGTGTCCAACATTATTTGAAATAATGTTGCACAGAAATATTTAAAGATCTCTTCATTAAAGCCAAAATATGCAAGAAATGTTTTTCTTTTGAAATTTAATGCATGTAAAATTACATTTCCCAACTAAAAAAAATTAAAATTCTCAAATTTATTTTCTTATTCGTAGAGAAATTATATTCGCTAAATCTTTTAATTACACTTTACAAAAAAAAAAAATGGAAAAAAAACTAGTGAACATGAGAAAGTATAAAAAAAGTTTATGTTTTTCTCTCATCTGAAGTGTTGCCCAAATATTTAAAGATCTTTTCATCAAAGTGAAATTGGTCAAATAAATCTTTTTCTTATGGCTCTCAAATAAAAAATTACAAAGATCTAACAGTTTTTCACCAACGAAAGAGTTGGATCCAATTTGATCCAACAGTTTTGCACCAACGAAAGAGTTGGATCCAATAGGATCCAACAGTTTTGCACCGATGAAAAAGTTGGATCCAACAGTTGCATTGAAGAATTGCAGTCCGTCAACCAGCCATCAACTATTTCGACTGCTGAGCCAGTTGAACTTGCTGTCAATTTTAAACATAAAGGTCAGCCGATGGAAAAAAAAATTGAATAAAAAATTTTCTCGACATAGGCCGAGTGTCATTGTGTTTTTGACAGCCAGCAGCCGGTAGCCTGCCACTGGTTCAATAATTGATTTGATAGCCATAAGAAAGATATTTATTTGACCAATTTCACTTTCTTTTGGAAGGTTAACTTAAAATGTTTATCATCATTACACACGAGATTTGTAAATAAAATAAAATATGACTGTTGTGGAAATTTTTATTTATTTAAATGTTCCTCATTTTGAGTTTCCTTAACAGAGCGATTACTTTTCGTGCCCTGAGGCCTACATTTAACATTAAAATACATTTATAAATTACCGCGACCCTTAAGACTGAGGGAATACGACAGAGAGAAATAAAGCAGAAATTTTTCTGTCGAGTCGCGACAATTACTAAGTTAAATGTGATTTAATCCCGAAAAACTTTGATTAAAATTCAAAAAGTTTGTCCTTTTCAAGAGGGTCGATAGGGTTTGTTGGTCGGGGGCTGCTATGCAATTGTGGTGCCAAAAGGGAGCAGCCATCCAGCTCTGGGGCGCAGTTATCTCAATTACGCGTTTTTGGTGCGAACAATTAAAGCCGTTGGCCATTCAACAATGGCCTGGCGCCGTCGCCAAGAAAGCGACACGAATTCCAGCGCAGGACAAACTTCTTCCCTCGACAATATAACCGGGGATGCATGAGGGTCTTCTCTGTTTCTCTCTCTGGTGTGCACTCGCTCTGCTTCTCCATGTGTGTTGCGCCGAGATAAGGCGAAAACTAGACCAGAAGTTGGGACGCCGCCACCGAGCTGCACAAAGAAAGGCTAAAACAATTGTCACTTAAGTTGTATCGCGCATTATCTCCCTCCTCGCAGCATCTTTCTCTCTTCCTCCTCTGGAATTGCGGAATTTTGATTGCAGCGTGCGGAGGAATGCGCGCCGTGTTTTGTAATTTGCAAGCAATGTTGCGATTGCAGCAACACACCTGTGGTATGCAGAGTGAACGGCCAGGTAACTGAGAGGTAGGCAACTGGCCCGACACTCGCACCTAGCCGGCTGCATAATTCAATTTCGGGAAGGTATGAGCAGGAAGGAAGGAATAATTACAAAATGAAACAAATAAAATTTTTGTTCAACAAGCAAATTTAAAGTTTCGCTGCAGTAAATTTCTTTGAATTGTTAAGAATATTAAGGTGGGATTTTTCAGCTGGAAAATATTGTTTTAAATAAAAATTTTTGTATTCGTTTGTTTGTCAACGAATAAATATCTCAAACTTTACTGGTGAAAATACGGTATAAAATTAGCTTATAAATGGTAAAAAAATGTTCTTTAATAACTCCCATGTAGATAATAAATTTTGCAATAAAATCGTCCAGGATCTGGATGAATATAAAAAAAAATCACCACTGAATTTTTGTGAATTCTGAATTCTGTATGGTGATTTAAATGGGAAATTTAAGAAAAAAGATATTATGAATGCTAAATTTAGACTACATTGCTTCCAAATGCAAGTTATTGCAATCAAAATCGTCGTGATTATTAGACAAATATAATATATTTGAAAAATAGAATTACAATACAAATAATATGCTTTTGAAATAGGGAAGGTAATTTTTTGTATTCATTTTTATAAATCTTGCCAATTTTATACCAGTGCTGTCATGAAACAGGTTTTGATTAATAATTAATTATTTTGTTGTTATTTTTAACGTTTAAGTAGGTTGTGGAATAAATTTAAATTACAGAGTTTCTCACAGCCAATGCAAGATGGTGATTTAATGGTGGCTTTTTGCCTCCGGAGTCAATGAATGAGCGAAACTGTCAGAGTAACTTTTGCGATAATTGATAGCCAGTGGGATGAATGAAGGGTGTCACCGACACGTGAGGGCGACTCACTTGCTTGGGGTGGCGCGATAACTCAATCTGTCAACCAGCAGCGCCAGGTCCTGCTTTCCTAGGACAAAAGCCCCGTACGATGTTTTCTGCGGTAGTTTTGTTATGCACCGGCACTTTGCGCCATCACGCGAGTTGTTTCTTGCTTGGCACGCACGCATGAATGAGGCAGGAAACGCCCAGCATTATTCAAAAGCGCACCACTCGCATATAAGAAAGGTCGAGACTAAGAAGTGCAGGTCTGCAAGGCAGCGGCCACATTGAGCAAGCGTGTTCATTGTCTGCGGCGAGAGCGAGCAGGACAGACAAAAAAAAATCAGGCGTGGAGCCGCGAATAATTAATGGTTCCGTGACACACATCGCTAGAGATGGAAACTGCAGTTGAACGGTACATTAATGGTGGAAATCTGCAAACTTTCAAAATTTTTTCTGTTAATTTGTAGCATAATAAAAATTAATGAGCTTAAAAATGGCGATAAATTTGAGCAAATCGATAATTTGCGATTATTTTTTTACTGATCTTTAAATTTGTTGAATCTATCGAGGAAAATGATGTGCTTGGTTTTGAGTAAAGAAAATTTGTAAAATTTAATGTAAATGAGGAGAAATTTTGGACACTGAAATTTTCAGTTAACAATAATAATATAAATTATATCATCTTTTGTTCAAATAAGTATACATAATAAAAGACTAATTGAGCACAGACGGCAGATTAAATTTGAAATTTTAATTCAATTGCTATTGTTCGCATGTCAGTATATATTTTTTTTAATTATTAATTTTTTATATGTAGCTACGTTATTGTTTCAATAGTAAATAAAATAAATCAAGTAAAATTTGCTAATATTAATAATATTAAATTTATTATAAAATAATTTTTATATTTTTATTTTTTTTAATAATAAAACCAGAAAAATTTATATTTTTAGTTATCTACAAATAAATATTTATATAACATTAAAAAGTATAATTAATTAAAAGTACTATTATTGATATTATTATCAATAAAATTTATTATTGATGCATTATTCCATTTCCTTATAATACCGCACATTATAATTTCAATTTTTGCCTAGTAAGTATAAGTAATAATTCCTTTATTTCCATGTAAAAAAAAATAAGGTATTTTAAAATTTTTTACAATAAAATGGGTAAAATTAAAAACGTAAAGGAATTATTCAAATTCAATAAAAAACTACCGCTTTTTCCTTCCAGTTGACCAAAACGAGAATCAATTACGTGATGACGGGATTGCTTTTGCCATGGGGTAGTTCACCCCTCTTTCGACGGATGGCGCCATCGGTGGAGTTGAAGCTAGGCAACGCGCAGAACACATTCTCTCCTGCAGTTTGGAGCGTCCGCTGAGCATTTCTCCCCTACAGGTTGCCTATCCAGCAGGCAGTCGACTCCAAACAGTTGTTCAACACTTTTTTGAACAACTCAATCCTTATTAAATTTAATTTCATAAACGATATTTTTAAACTTTATTTCATTCTTTTGGAAACAAATGGATATTTGTTGTTTTTTTTTAATTAAAATTATTGAGCTTTTTTTCTAATATATAGAGATCAATTTTATGTATTCGAAAATCAAATTGTTATCTGTTTATTTATATAATTGAGGTGATTATTTATTTAGGAATTTTTGTTTCAAAGGAAAGTCAATTTTTTTTATTTTCATCTTCTCTATGAAAGAAGCCTTTAATAAAAACAAACTGGTTTGACAATCAAATTACACATATTAATCGTCGTCATTCTTGATTTTATCATCTACCACTTACTTAAATGCCTATTATACTTTTCATACAACTTAAGAGATGTCTCTGTTTTTCCCCGCGGGTTCGTGGTACATTACATGTACATTTTACACATCGTCGGTGCTTTTTCAAATACATAATTTTTTTTTTGTAATTTCCGTTTATTTTTATAATATAATAAACTTGTTGTCTCGCGACCGCCGAGAAACACTGCATCATCTTTTGCATTATTTTTGCACATCGGACCGAGAGACGAAAATCGATGAGATTTTTATTTTAATTATTTTTTGCGACAATGAGAGATAGAGAGAGAGAGATACAGTCACACGGAACAATCAGTGGGTGTCGGTTATCATTTTGTTCTCGCCAATTTCGGTTGTTTTTATTAAATTATTTATTACATTCTGCTGCTCGCGTTTAAGCTTACATAGTCTCACATTCAGAGGGCTGCTCGAATGTCAAGCAGCCGCTAAATTATTATTTTGATGACGAAAATTGATTTGAAGATTTGTCTCGAGAGAGAGACGCTGTCGTCGTCCCCGGTAAGTACAAAAGGTTCCTCCAACGGGACCGGGGAATTCGAGGCGTCTCTTTTTGTACACCTACGTTAATTTAATTAATTACAATTAATCAGTTTGATGACTTTTTTATACACAATTTTTGTTTTCTTTCTTGTATGGGGTGATATATAAACATTTTTATTTCGCGCGGGGAAAGATATATTTTTCCGGCTAGTTTACCCTGTAAGAAATACAAATAGCTAAGCTGCTACAATGTTCTTTCTTCTCATATTTCAATACAATTATTTTAATTTAAATTTTTATATAAAGTGAATGTGGAGCTTGCACCGCGAACTGGCGCTCGAGAGGGGATATATTTGTTTGGAAAAATAATTGTATTTATCAGCTATCGGGAGGAGTGTGTCCTGTGCGCTTAGGGGAAGAATCGTTACGAGCTAAAAATACGTGTGGTAGAATGACGTGTGTGTGAAGTTTTCCTTACCATTTACATTATACAACGAGAAAATGCTGTGTGTACATTGCGTCTTTAATTATTAAATAACATTTACGTCTCGCACAATCACGCACTTGTAGGAAGTGGGACAAAATTAATTAATACTTTGAGTGGTAAATCGCGTCTCTTGACTTCTTGGAACGAGTCAAAAATTTAATTAATAATTTATTCAAATACAAATAGGATCGTTTCTAGAACAAATTGAAAATTAACAATTTATATGTAAGGGACACAAATTTTAAATTTAATCATCAATCACACGATACATATCAATTTTTTTCCAGAATGGTGGGTGACACTTTACGGCGGTTTTTGCAAGTTGATTTCGTATCATTTATAAATTCGCATGATATTTACAGTTTACTGTTGGGATAACGTTGAGAGGAATTGAGAGTTATATTTTATACTTTGAGCCATTCATCGTTTAGGAATTCAAATGCTGACGGAACATTAAAGTTACGTTTTGTGTCCACTATATGAATGTTTGAATACGTACACGGAAAAATAAATTATTATAAAGAACAGTCTTCCGAAAAGGAATTATTATGCATTTTTGTGTGGATAAATGTTTTGAAAATTTTGCTGTGCGCGCGTCTCGTTTTTATTATACATATTTATTATTTCGTTTTATAAAAAAAGGAATGTGTGTGGTGAGTGTTTTTCGAATGATTAAAAAAATATTATAAAAGCAACTCCATTATCCCCAATGTGTGGAAAGCGAGAGTGTGTGTGAGAATGAGGAGGGTGGTTTTTTTTTAAAAATAAATATATCAAAAACGTGCGGAGACAAAAAAATAAACACAAAAGACAGCAGATTCTCCTCAAATAGGAACCAATTCGTTTTTAAAATACCTTTGGTTTTCTCTCATAAATAATTACGAGTTAAATTAAATTATAATTATATATGAACAAAAAAAAGTCTACGCACTACACAGAAATATTTAAATCAAAGAGAAGGAAATCAAGTCTCAAAAATTTCATCTTATACGAGTGTGTGGAGTAATAATTTATAAAAAGTCATAAAAAAAAAATCGAAGGAAATATTACGTGAGAAAATAATACATTTTGCTGCGGTGTCTTATAAGTCCGTTTGTCATTATATGGTACACGTGCTGCTTTTTTTGATAATAAAAACGTCACAAATCGTGCGTCCATCCACCAATCTTCTTTTCATCTTCGTCACTTTGCACTGCTGATAATAGTGTTTTTATCCCGGGCGCGCCGGGAGGAAGAATTGACTCGGGGGTCGAAAGTGCCGCGGGTTCCGCCATGGGAAGGGCGCAGGGAGCGGAGGTAGATACATCGGGGGCTGCAGGTGCGGGGGCGGGAAGACGGGGGCCGACCGTCAGTAAATGCTCTGCGGCGGCGGTTGTGGCGGGGGCGGATGGCGGAAGCCTCCCCACGGGAAGAGTCATGTGGTGTCCTTGGAGGCGGAGGCGCTCGAGTCGCCGGTGTCGTCGCCCATCATGGAGGCGGCCATGAGGCCGCTCGCGTTGGCCGCCGCGGCCGCCTTGTTGTTCTGGTTCACGACGCACTTGCGCATGTGCTTCTCCAGGGTGGACGGCACCGAGAAGGGCATTTCGCAGAAGCGGCACCGGTACACGTCCTTGCCCAGCCGGCCGTGCGTCTTCATGTGGCGCGTCAGCTTGCTCGACTGCGCGCACGCGTAGCTGCACAGCTCGCATTTGTACGGTTTCTCGCCGGTGTGCGACCTGCGGTGCACGGTCAGGTTGCTGCAGTTCTTGAAAATCTTGCCGCAGTACTCGCACGTGTCGTTGCGCCGGCTCTCCTTGCGCGGCACCCCGGTCGGCCCGAGGCCCAGGTTCAGGCCGGCGGCCACGGCCGCGGCCGTCATGGCCGACGGGCCCGGCTTCTGGTGGTCTCGCGACTTCTCCTTTCTGCCGGTGAGCAGGTCAAAGTTGGGGTGGTCGACCCCAAAAAGGTCACGAGGGGTGGGGGCCATCGTCGGCAGCCACGAAAGGCCGGCGTAGATGTCGCGGTCGTTCCGCAAAGGGTGGTTTTCCAGGTCCAGCTTGAGACGCTTGCTGGCGTCGAAGGGCATGTCGAAGCCGAAGAGGTGCGGGTTGATGTCCATGTGCGGCTGGCCGATCAAACCTTTCCTCAGGTCTTCGTGGAACTGGAGGGCGCTTTTGTCCAGACCGTTCTCGTGCCGCTTCTTCATCAGGGAGTGGGGGATGTTGTTGTTGTCCCTGATGCGGTCGTTGTTGTTGCTGGGCAGCGGCTTGTCGTCCTTGCCCATTTTGAGGCCGCCCGATTCCTGCAGCGCCTGCTTGTAGGCCTCGTTGTACTGCTGAATGTCGCTCAGACCGAACTTGTTCATCAGCTCGCCGACGAGGGAGCCGGCCAATGGAAGGGAGGGGTGCATCAGCTTGAGACCTTTGTCCTTGCTGGGGTGCTGGGTGGGCGTCGACGTGGCGCTCGACGAGGACTTGGTGGTCAGGTCCTCGGGAGCGTCACCCTCGATGTCCTCCTCGGACTCGTCTCCCTCCTCTTCTTCCTCTTCCTCCAACTCCATGTCCTCCAGCTCATCTTCCTCGTCCTCGGACTTGTCATCGTCCGAGTCCAAGGTTTCGATTGAACCGCCCAAAGAGTCGGTCTCGCCGGACTCAGGGGTGGAGTTGGTGCTGCCGTTGAGCGGGCCGCCGTGTTTGCGGGCCGCTCTGTGGATCTTCATGTGTCGCTTGAGCTTGCTGGCCTGCGAGCACGTGTGGTTGCAGATGGGGCAGCGGTAGGGTTTCTCGCCGGTGTGCGAGCGGCGGTGCACGATCAGGTTGGAGACGAACTTGAACCTTTTGCCGCAGAATTCGCACGACTTGTTCTTATTGTGGTGGAAAGAAGTGAGGTCGGTGGCCGCCTCGGCCGCGGCCTCGCCGGCCGCCTTGCTGGGGTCTGGGGGCGTGGACTGTGCCCGCGGAGTACTGGGCAAGGGTGTCAAGTCCGACTCGTGTGGCCCGCAGGTAGGCAGTGAGGAGCTCAAGGGTTGCGAGGGCGGCCGCATCTGTGGAGGACTCAGAGACGCCCGCCCCACACTCCCGTTTCCCGAAAACGACGAGTTGTTGAGGGATTGAGACAGAAGGGAGGAAGAGGAGCCCGAGGTCGACGGCTGCTGGTTGGCCTTGTGGCCTGCAGCCGACGAGCCGGCGGCCGGGGGCGTCGTTTCTTGCTGCGACGACCGCGGCGCCGAGTTGTTATTCGGGCTGGTAAAAGGGGGAGTGAGGATCTGCTTTCGGCTCGACGGGCTGGATCCTCCGCCAGGGCTGGTAGTGCCTGCCAACTGACGCAGCCGCTGCGAGTAAAAATCCAGTTGCGGCTCGAGATTTAGTGCGCCCAACGAGGATGACGCCGCCTGCGGGGGCGGCGGAGGCACCGAGCTGGACGTCGGTGCCCCGGACGAGGCCGTGCTTCTGGTGCTCGGCGGTCTTTCGAACGGGTCCGTCGCGAAGGGCGGCGGCCGCACCTGCTCAAGGGCGGCGGCCAGATTCAGGCCGGCCGCGTGCGGGTTGAGACGGAACTGTTCCGAGACTAGTTGCTCCATGCGGAAGTCGTGACTAGAAGGGGGCCTCGCGAAAGGGTTGAGCGCGGCGGCGGCCGCGGCGGCCAGCGAGCTGTTGCCGAAGTTGCGCTCGCCGCCCAGGGGCATGCGCAGCAGGTTGAAGGGGTTGTGCGGGTCGAGCGCCGACGGCAGCGGCGGCTGGATCGGCGGCATGGAAGAACGCGGGGGCAGGTCGTGGAGGCGGCTCACCACCGGCGGCGCCAGTGGCGGCAGCGACGGCGCCGACACGGTCGGCGGTGGCGTCGCCGCCGTCAGGTCGATGTAGATCTTGATGCCGTGCCCTTCCTGCACGTGCTGCATCAGCGTCCATGCGGACTGGAAGCGCTGCTTGCACGTCGAGCACACGTAATTGCTGGGTTCTGCAACAAACGAGACGGAAAAAAATTAGTAAATGATAGTTCGCCTGGGCAGTGAAATGTAAACCGATTATTACTTCGGAATTCTCGCATTGACGGGAAGTTACAATTTTCCCAATAAATATCTGGCGATACAAAATAAAATGATAAAAAAGATTATATTTTACAGATAAATTTATTTAAAAATTTTCTTCAAAATAAATAATATATTTCATTATTTGATTGATTTATTTTTTTATGCTTTGAGATTTGTTCATGTTTTAATATTAAAAATTATATTTTGTTGAAAAAAATTATTATTTCAAAAAGCCAATTTTTAATATTAGTTTCCAGAAAAGTTTAAATCAATATTTAAAAAGTTTCTAAATATAATCTTTTTTCTTTCAATATTTAATTATTTTTACTATTCTTTGAGGTTTATTAATATTTAATTATTTCAAATTTCAATGCTATAAAATTAATACTTTTTCCTTAGTGTTGGTTAAACTTATTTATTAATTATTTCTAAGTCAAATGAAGATATATATTTTGGATTTAACGTGGTGACCAATGAACAATAATGTGCTGTGATACTCGAATCGAATACCGAAAGGGGAGGCTGCAGCATTGAATCAAATATGAAAAGATTTGTCGTAGCGGAAGAAAATGACGATGACAGTTTTTTAGCCGCCGTGATTGCCTGCTGCTCACGTGAGCCGCTTTTTAATAAAACTGCCTGCGCGACCTTTCTTTCTTTCTTTTATTATTATTTTCCTCCTCCACCCACAGCAAGAACAATGAACCGCATCTCTCGACGGCTGAATAAAGGGTCCGGCTGCTGCTTTAATCGCAATATTGCATCAACCGCCCCCACCACGTACACTCAACTCGGGCCCGCGATATTTTAATGAGTTTTCATTTCCTCATCTGTCCTCTTTGTGTCGCCGAGAGAGTTTGACGACATTGATCGAAACCAGTTGAGCGTGATTCCTAATCTCGAGAGGCCAAATGCACGAGTCCGAGAGAGAATAAATTTTTATTTTTTTTGAATATAAACAATAAAGAATGGACGAGCACTCTGGAGCGACTCGCACATATTGCATGTCGACTGCTCTCTCGACAATCAATTAAGGTTTGCCAATCAAGTGTGCTCGCGCTGTTTGATGCCGTGTGGTGTGCACAACGAAAGTGTTGAACTTTTCCATTATCGGCTCGAGTAGTGCCGATGAGTCGGCACTATCGGAACGAGTAACAATAAAAACGGGAGAAACTCGCGGCGATTTTTCTCTCTTTTCTTTTCTTTTCTCTTTGGCAAATATTGAGAGCTTTTATTCATTTTTTCCCGTCAGCCCCGTTTTATGACCTCTCCGGCCGCATTATGCGCGCGGTGGTTTTAGTGTCCAGTAAAATTGACATTAAGACGATACAGAAATATGGCCCTAAGTAGCTGGCCCGAGTGCTGCCGGCTTTTTTGCATATACAGACACTTTTTTATATCTCTGCACTCTCTCTCACTCAATATGTCCGAGCCTCTAATGCACGCGCAGTTTGCATCTTCTTATAACACCCTCGTCACTTTTATACACATAATGCGCTGCTTATGTGTACGAAAAGGGATGGATGTGGCCGGCCTCTCGGAAAAGGAGATTTTTACACCGCATGCAGATTATCAAGAGGGGAGAGAAAATCGTAATGGATTTCTGCATCCGCTGAGTGATTTTTTTTTATATATAAAGGAAAAATAAAAATTGGCGAAATTTTTTGATAAAGAGAAATCGGCGCTTTGATCTTACGCATAAAAATTATATACATGTCAGTCTTTTTGTTCCGATCTATGAAATGACATCATCAGTCGTATTGTTTTTGCAAGTTGTCCAACAGCTGCTAAATTAATGAATTAAACAAAAAGGAGGCTTGGCTGCGACGATTGACGAGTGAATAGAATATTGAAACAATAGGCAGGACACACGCAAAACAACAATTGACCTGCACTTTTATACCACGAAATGCAAAGGAAAGAATGAATAAAAGTTTCGCTTCGCCACTCATTTTTTTTTCTTTGCGGAGAAAAGTTAGTGGGCGCGACGAGGGTCATGCTGCGAGGTCACGTAGTGTCCAAAAAGTAGCGCAGCTGGGGTCCTCTTATGGCTCAACTCACTTAGCGAGGCACAATTTTCTGCGGCCAAGGGGTTGAAGCGAAAGAAAAGTATAAAAAGGAGGAGGAAAGAAAGAAAGAAAGATTCGCCCGGGATAAAATGGGGTGGAAAAATATGCGAAAATAAAAACAGCGCGCGGCGCTCGGTAATCCCTCGGAACAGCGCAATCCATTATCCGGCCGAAACTTTTTCAAATACACAAATCCCGCTTTATTATTAGCCATCAGAGCAAGTTTAATACTCCTGACAATGATGCATTCGAGTTTTATTATTCGCCAGCAAAGAGGTAAGAAAAATAACCCCCAATGCACTTACTCTTGCCTTTATGTTATCAATTTAAAAAGAAAGAGGATATAAAATAATGGCAGTGGGAAAACATTTGAGCGGCGTTTCCTGCCCAAAAGTGGACCTCTCGAGATTGCAAAGTGAAATTCAAAACAGTGGCCAATCGACTCTTTACTATAACAATCGCCGCACGTTTCGATTGCCGCAGGCTCTCTCAAATCAAGTGGCCGCGCAATTTCCGTTTCATCTGTGCAGCTGGGTGCTCCATGTTGAGCATTATTTATAAGTTAATATTCTAAGTATAATTAATTTTAAAAATAAAATGAACATGAAATGAATTTTGTGCTTCTTTATTTAGTAATTTCAATCTTTTTAAAAATATGTTATTTGTTTTGTTTGTAAATCAATTTATAATTATTCCAAAATTCCAAATTATAAGAATGGACTCTGATTAACTATTTGTAATTTCAAAAGTAAAACTACAATTACAAGTTTACAAAAATATCTATATTTATAAATTAATCAATGTTGCCCCACTGAATTAAGAGAATTTGAATGGAATAGAAATAGTGTTTTGATTGCCCAAATTTAAAGAGATAATAATTTTTTTCTACTAATGTAAATTTAAAATAAATAATTAAATTCCTCTGATAATTAAATCATATAAATTTCCTCTGATAATTATAAATCATATAAGTTTGAAAATAATTAATCTATAAAAAAGATACATATTCCATTGAATATTTTCCTCGCAGGTTCTTATGTATTAGATTTTGCAACTTTTAATGTGGATCTACTGAGTGAGATGAAAAAATAATGCTATTAATTTGCTATTTTTCTAATCAAACAGCGATTAAGGCTTTGCATGTATAAAGAAGCGATGGAGCATAATTTCGGACTCGGCTCGCATCATGCAAACTCTCTCTTCCCTCCATTTCGCCAAGGCAGGTGCTTCGCTCTTGATTATGTTTATCACGTTCCAAATTTAATTAGCGCGCGGGATTTAGCCTTAATGGCGGCGTGCACTGCTCTTCTACCCATTTTTAATTGTGCTGCCATTAAATCGCGCCTCGGGTCCTGTGGGACCGCGCCGAACAACTAATTGCCGCGAGCATGTGAACGTTCGTTCCGCGGGCCATTAAGGTTAATCATCCCGGTAATAAATGTAATGAATAAATTACGTGTAAGCCACGGTGGACCGAAAATTAAAAAAAAAAGTAACAACGGCAGCAATCATTTTTCATACAGTTGCTCTTTCTCGGCTGGCGAAATTAATTATTAAGACGTCAAGAGGCAGAAAACGAGTTTTGAATAGGCCGCGTCTGTGAATGATGATTTTCAATTATACGCAGAGACGCGGATTTTCAATCTTTTCGCCGAATAATTGCACACGCCCATATAACAACTGTATTAAGATTTCGCTGCTTCTTTCTTTCTCTCTCTCTGGAGAGTGGTGCCGCTTTAAGGAAGAAGTTTTGAATGTGCGCGGCCCGAATCCTATTAATCTTCTTGCGGCCTGTCAAGACTTAATATACATACATAAAAAGAAAGAGGCTCGCGGCGATAAAGTGCCGTGCGTGTGTGTGTTTGTACGCCAAAGAAAGAGATATCACGCGCCACATCAAAAGAAAAGCTGCTCTCGCCCCTTGACCGAATGACCAACCCGTCGAGCCCGCTTGTTATCCCCTTATTCAATCAACACACATAATAATATTTACGAGCTTTTTATCGCTGAATTTTTAAGTAAGGAAGTGCGTCGCTCGCCTCAGGAAGGGGATCATTCGTTTGATTTACGAGAGGGGTCGCTCTCTTGAGAGGGCAGCCGCTTTGAATACGACTCGAGGATGAGCAGCCGTCGTCTCTCTTTCTTGACCAGCAGCAATGCTTGGTCTGTCTGTGTACATTTTTTATCGCCGGGGGTGTCCGGGTGAAAGTGGCGTTTATCGCGGCCGGATGCTTCATCTGCGACAATATTGTGACAGCGACGGCCACCAGCTTTTGATATGAAAAATGAAAAAGAGAAGAAAAAAAAAACGCCGGGCCGCAATTGAGAGCCGACCAGAGGGTCAAAAGCATATTCTGAGTGAAAAAAAAAACGATGAAGTGAGAATCTCTCTGAAAAGTTCAACTCATAAAATATTTACTTTCAGCAGCCCTAATTAAAATAAAAAACATTATAATGCTGTTAAATATAGTTTCAAAAAGTGATTTAAAAAAACTAACTCTTATTTCAATAATAAAAAAATATATTAGTGTGTATGTAGCCTTTTTATATAATATTTGTTAATTTAACTTGGTTTAATTCAATTTATATAAATTAATAATATCTTATTTTTATATTTAGCAAGACAGTCTGTAAAATGTGACTATGATACATTTAATTTAATATTTAATATGATATTAAATTAAAAAAAAGTTATTTAAACTTTAGATTTGAGATTCTGTTAAATTTATTTGTTACTAATAATTGCACGAGCTGTAGGTTTTTCTCTATTCATGACATGATTCTTAGTAATCCACCAAATTATAACCTAATTAATTTTTATTTTGTCATTAATATGGATGAGTTCATGTATGGGGCAT